TTGTTTTTGGTTTTTTGAGACGGAGTCTTGCAGTGTCGCCTAGGCTGGAGTGCAGTGGTGCGATCTCTGCTCACTGCAAGCTCTGCCTCCCAGGTTCACACCATTCTCCTGCCTCAGCCTCAGCTGGGACTACAGGTGCCTGCCACCATGCCCGGCTAATTTTTTGTATTTTTAGTAGAGACAGGGTTTCACCGTGTTAGCTAGGATGGTCTTGATCTCTTGACCTTCTGATCCGCCTGCCTCGGCCTCCCAAAGTGCTGGGATTACAGGCGTGAACAACTGCATCCAACCTCTGGCCTCTTTTTTTAAATAGACAATTTTTTCGACCAGTTTTAGGTTCACAACAAAATTGAGCAGAATGTATAGAGATTTCCCACATACCCCCTGCTGCATACATGCGTAACCTCCCCTATTATCAATATCCCCCACCAGAACAGTACATTTGTTACAACTAATGAATCTACATTGACACATCATTATGACCCAGAGTCCATAGTTTGTATTAGGATTCACTCTTTTTTTTTTTTTTGAGATGGAGTCTTGCTCTGTTGCCCAGCTGGAGTGCAATGGCGTAATCTTGGCTCAATGCAACCTTGCCTCCCCGGTTCAAGCGATTCTCCTGCCTCAGCCTCCAAAGTAGCTGCAATTACAGGCACGCGCCACCACACCTGGCTAGTTTTTGTATTTTTAAAAGAAACAGGGTTTTACTGTGTTGGCCAGACTGATCTCGAACTCCTGACCTCAAGTGATCTGCCCACCTCGGCCTCCCAAAGTGCTGGGATTAGGCATGAGTCACCAAGCCCAGCCAGGGTTCACTCTTGATGATGTGTAGTCTTCAAGTTTGGACAAATGTATAAAACATGTATCTGCCATTATAGTATCATAAAGATTTAGTTTGCTGTGCTAAAAAAATCCTCTGTGCCTTGCCTGTTCATCCCTCCCTTCCCCCAACCCCTGACAACCACTGATCTTTAAAGGCTGGCTTCTTCACTTAGTAGTATGCTTTTACCTTTCCTCCGTGTCTCTTCATAGCTTGATAGCTCATTTCTTTTTATCGCTGAGTAATATTCAGTTGTCTGGATGAACCACAGTTTATCCATTAATCTACTGAATTTGGTTGCTTCCAAGTTTTGGCAATATGAATAAAGCTACTATAAACGTCTGCGTAGGTTTTTATATGGATATACGTTTTCAGTTCATTTTGATAAATACCGAACATCAGGATTGTTCAATCACATGGTAAGAGTATTTTTAGTTTTTTTTTGAGACGGAGTCTCACTCTGTCGCCCAGGCTGGAGTGCAGTGGTGTGATCTCGGCTCACTGTAAGCTCTGCCTCCCGGGTTCATGCCATTCTCCTACCTCAGCCTTCCGAGTAGCTGGGGACTACAGGCGCCCGCCACCAGGCTGGCTAATTTTTTGTATTTTTAGTAGAGACGGAGTTTCACTGTGTTAACCAGGATGCTCTCGATCTCCTTACCTTGTGATCCACCTGTCTCGGCCTCCCAAAATGCTGGGATTACACGCATGAGCCACCGCACCCAGCCATATTTTTCGTTTTGTGAAAAGCCACCAGACTGTCTTCTAAAGTGGCTGTATCCTTTTACATCACCACCAGCAATGGGAGTTCTTGCTCTTCCACTGCCACCAGAATTTAGTGTTGTCAGTGTTTTGGATTTTGGCCGTTATCATTGATGCATAGTGTATTTCAGTGTTGTTGTAATTTGCATTTCCTTGATGACTTATTAGATATTCATATGTATATCTTTGAGGTAGTGTCTGTTAAAAGTGGCCTATTTTTTAATTGGGCTGTTTGTGTTTTTACTGTTGAGTTCTAAGAGTTTTTTGTATATTTTAGATAACAATCTTTCATCTGCTATGTCTTTTGCAAATATTTTCTGCCAGTCTGTGGCTTAGCTTTTTAACGGTAGTGTGGACTACTAGATATCGACATGCAAAAGATTGAGGATAGACCTGTTCATCACACTATTTATAAAAATTAACTTAAAATGCATCCAAGACCTAAACTTAAAAGCCAGAAGTATAAAGCTGCTAGAAGAAAACAAGGCATAAATTTTCATGATCTTGTATCATGCAGTAATTTCTTAGATACCAGAATCATAAGTAATCAAACAAAAAACAGATAAGTTAGACATGAAATTAAAAACCTTAATTCAGCCTGGACACAGTGGCTCACGCCTGTAATCCCAGCACTTTGGAAGGCCAAGGCAGGTGGATCACCTGAGGTCAAGAGTTCAAGACCAGCCTGGCCAACATGGTGAAACCCTGTCTCAACTAAAAAATATGAAAAATTAGCCTGGCATGGTGGCAGGCATCTGTAATCCAAGCTACTTGGGAGGCTGAGGCAGGAGAATCGCTTGAACCCAGGAGGCGGAGATTGCAGTGAGCTGAGATGGCATCATTGCATTCCAGCCTGGGCAATGAGCGAAATTCTGTCTCAAAAAATACAATAAATAAATAAAACCTTAATCCAAAGAACATTATCAAGAAAGTTAAACGACAACCCACAGAATAAGAGAACATATTTGCAAATCATTTATCTGATGAGACTAGTATCCAAATAATTCTTAAGTTTCAACAATAGAAAGGGAAGTAACCCAGCTGAAAAATGAGCAAGAGATTTGTATGGATATTTCTGCAAAGATATGTGAATGGCCAACAATCACATGGAACAATTCTCAGTATCATCAGTCATTAGGAAAATTTAAATCAAAATCACAAGACACCAGTCAGGCGTTGTGGCTCATACATGTAATCCCAGCACTTTGGGAGGCAGAGGCAGGTGGATCATTGAGGTCAGGAGTTTGAGACCAGCCTGGCCAGTATAGTGAAACCC